AGAAAACTAACTAACTAACTAACTAAATCTTTTGTTTCTAGACATAGAATCTCCACTCAGGAAAACACTGATATTCCTTATAGCAGTGGAGGCAAACCTATGGCATGCATGCTATTGTGTTTTTCTTTTAAGACAAAAGATGCTAATGTGTGAGGTTTAATTGGAGCACTGGCACTTTGTGATACATGAGTTTTGGGTTATAACTTGGTATTTGGTCACTAAAAGGTTCATCATCAAAGATAGAGCAAAATATCATAGAAAGTAATCCAGGGACTAAAAGAAAAGAGCCAAAATTTTTAGCAATTTTTGAAATATAACAACCTAGTTGGAAAATTTCCATGCCAATAGCACAATTATAAGTTTATGTACTACTTTTAATTTTAGTACACTCTCTCTTTAAGAGCTGATGTGATGATCACAAAAAGTTTTTCTGGTACCACAAAGTATGGGCTAAAGGGAAGTTACATTTTCAGCTTTTAAAAACTTCTATTGAAGACATGTCAAAATAGTAAACAGTATATAAATGATAATCAGTTTGGTCAACCCAACACATACTTAGTCCTTGAGAAGGTCTTAAGGGTTTATTAAACCCTGGGCTCAGGCCTTCAGCAAAACACACTAAAAGTAAGTAACTTACTTCAACTTACATAGCTAATTTAAGTGAAAATTGAATTAGAGTTCAGGCCAGAGTATTGTTTTCCATTTAACTGTAATTGGCCTAACAGGTCACTGCTCTTACCACTGAGACACAATACCTGACACCTGCACTTGAAGCAGAGGTTTACTTTGGCTCATGTTTACAGCCTGTGGTCAGCTGGCTCAAGGCAGGATGATGGCCTGAGCAGAGGAGAGCTGCTCACAGCATGGCAGATACGAAGTGGAGTCAAGTGAGGAGAGAGGAAGGAAGATATACACTTCTGGGTCACACCCAGTGTCCGGCTTCTACCAACCAGGCCCACCCCTAAAAGCAGCCAGCTGTAAGGCCCCTATAATCCAACCACCTTTTAAAAGCCATGACTACGAGCAAATGATGCTTGTGGGGATGTCTAACTACAAACAATAACATTCTACCTAGGGCCCCCAAAAGATTCATGCATATTCCTTTATATAAAATGTATTTAGTCTATCTCTAAGAGTTGCCAGAGTTTTAATAGTGCCAGCACTGCTAAAAAGTCCAGTCTAAAGTCTCCTCTGAGATGCAAAGGCAAACTCTTACCTGTGAGCCCGAGCCCCTAAAAACTCAAAAGAAAGTTAAACACTTCCAACATACAATGGCACCAGATAAAATACCTATTCAAAAGGGAGAAACCTAGGATAGGAAGAAATCAGACCAAATCAAGAGCAAAACCCAAAAGGGCAAACATTAAATCTTGTAGTTCTATAACCAGCACCTGAAGCAAGCTGTGGTGAAATATGAGCCCCTATTGCACTGCAGACAGACACAGCCATCATGGCCTCTCTCTTGGGCTGGCTCTGCTTACTCCTTGTGACTTTCTTCAGATATTCCATGTTCCTGGCTTCCACAACTTCCTGAGGTCTCCACTGTACTTTTGGCTTCACTCTCACCGCTTCATGCACTGCCCTCTCCAGGAGCACACTGCCTGGCTTCACAGGCCTTCTTCTGAAATCTAGGTAGAAGCCTCCATGATTGTACAGCTCTTGCATTCTGTATCCTATAAAATCAGCACCAGATGGATGGCACCAAGGTTTCCTGCTCACTCCAGCAGTTGACAGGCCCTGTTGCATCACGGCTACAGGGGCCTCTGGGTGCCTGGATGGCTGACCACTATGAACAGAATCTCAGGAAACCATTTTCCTAGATGGCTTTTCTCAATGAATGCCCTGGGGCTATCTCTTCTAAAAGCTTAAATCTTGATAGGTGGATTTTTGCTGCCCATGCCCTTAAGCCATTTTTCCCATTGTAGGGGGAACCAAAGTACTTGGTTTCTTTTTAATGCTAATCTTTTCAGCAATCAGGCTCTCCTCTGCTCCACCTTTGCAGGCCCCAACTTTCTAGCCAAATTCAAAACTTTTTAAGGTATTCATCTGTGCCATTTTCTCTTAAGGGTTTTCAACACAGAGCTCTCTAAAAGCCCCAACAGTACCCATGCCACAGCCTCAACATTAGGTTGCCTTGAAATTTCCTCTGCCAGATTAATTAGTCTACCACTCTTAATCTCATTCTCCCACAAAATCTCAGGACATGAGCAAAATGCTGACAAATTTTTCACCAGAACATAACAAACAGAATCTAAAGTTCAGTTGTCATTTGGTATCCTTGCTACTGATTATTATGGTTTATATTTAGATGTCCCCCCAAAGCCTCCTGCAAACAAGGTGGGACTTTCTTTTTTAGAAATAGTTGAATCTGGAATGTGTGATACTGGGGCTAAGGATGTGTGATTACTAAACCTCTACATGTGAGTGATTAGTTTGGCACTGCCCTAATCCCAGTAGTCTGAATAAGATAAAGGGGACAAAAAGATGCTGTTAAACTCTCTTGTTCCTTTGCTACGTTGTGCATGACATGTTGTTTCTCCTCTCTGATGTGTGTTTGTCATCCCTGTCTTGGAGGCAGTCAACTATGGACTGAAACCTCCAAATTGTAAGCCAAATAAACCCCTTCCCCTTTAACTTTAGGAATTGTGTATTTTGTCTCAGCAATAAGAAAAAAGTAACACACTGATCTTTGCCAGCTGCATTACTATCAGCATGCTGGTCTTCTGAGCTCCCACCAGAGTCTCTCATTTAAACTTAGTTTATAGCATTCTGGGGCTGCTTCTACAGCTGGCAATTCCAAACTTCCTTAATTCCTTCAGTGAACCAATTCCAAAGGTTTCTGAACCGCACAATCAGGTACTCACTGCATGAATCCCACTTCTGATGTAATCTGAGATAATTTTGTAAAGGATAATATTTAAAGGAAGAGAAGAAAAATGTCAAATTTGCACTACCTTTTGTATACCAAAAGGAACAATCTAACAGTGTGAACAGTTATCAATATATGCTGAATATCAATGCCCTTCTGGATATCAATGTCTTTGATATACAAAGCACTGATATTGACAATATATAAAAAACTTCAAAAACAGCAAAAGAAAGATAAAAAATATACAATAAATCCAATGGGCATTTCTCAAAAAAGACATACAAATGGCCGAACAGGTATATGACAAATACTCAATGTCACTAATCATCGAGGAAACATATATCAAAATCACAATAAAGTATCACTTCACCTCAGTCAGAATGGCTATTAGCAAAAGACAGGAAGACAAGAGTCAGAGAAGATATGGAAAAAAGAGAACCAGTGCATACTGTTGATGGGAATGTAAATTAGTACAGCCATGATGGAAAACAGTATGGAGGTTCCTCAAAAAGTTAAAATAGAATTAACTATTACATTACTGGGTTATATCCAAAAGAAACAAAATCAGAGTACGGACAAACCACTGGCCGTCCCATATGGATTACAGCACTATTCACAATAGCCAAAAAATCAAAACAACCTATTAAATGATGAATGAATAAAGAAAATGTGACTCATAGACACAATAGAATACTATTCAGACATATAAAAAAGAATAAAATCCTATCAATTTCTAATAACAGATGAACTGGAGATCTTTATGTTAAGTGAAATTACTCAGGCACAAAAGACAAATCTCATAGAAGTTGAGATCAAAATGGTTATTAGCAGAGGCTGGGGAGAGTAGGGAGGAGGAAAGATTGGGAAAAGTTGATTAATAGGTACTAATCTATAGTTAGGATAGCAAATAGTTTTGGTGTGCTACTGTACAGTGCAGTGACTATAATTAATGACAGTAATGAAGTATACATTTCAAAAATCTGAAAGATTTTGAAAGTTTTTGCCAGAAAGAAATCATAAGTAAATCATGACATAAAGTTAATCTGATTTAAATATCAGAAACTTTATACATATGTCAATACGTTACACTGCTATCACATTAATATGTATACTTTTTATGTTTTCATGGAACCCTTAAAAAACAAACATTTGGAGCACCAGCAGTATTAGTTTGTTTGATGAGTAAACTCCCTTCACCTAGTCATATTTTCCATGCAACAGTTATCAAACTATTCCTGAATGCTAGAATATCTTAGAGCCACTTAACAGATTGTACATTACGTACATTAAATGAGTTAGATTTAAAATTAATCATTTAATATATAAAGAAATAATTAAGGAACACAATTCATTTTCAATGCAATTTTGCTTCAGTATCTTAGGTATAAAAAGAACAAATAACTTAAAAAAATTTCCTCAGGCCTAAGAAGACATTTTGTCAAGCAATAAAAAATATCTGTTACTAAGGACACAGTTAGGATCCTAAATACATTTCAATGTACCACATCATTTCATATTTTATGGCTACTCATTATTCCAAGCACTACCTTGGATATATAAATTGATGGAGTTTAGTACCAAGAGATAATGTAGTATGTATTAAAAGAAAAACAAAAGTAGAAAGCAAGGAAAGATATTGCCATTTCACATGAAAAATTATAGGCTTGTCAATTTAATGTCAATGGCATCAATGTCAATAAATGCCTTATATGAGACAGCACAAGTTATGTGTCTTTGAAATTCTACCAGATCACAGTAGTTACTTAGCATATCTGTGTGTTCTAAAATTTAATACTGTGAATCTCTAAATCAATTACAATTTTTTTTCTATATCATTCTCAACTTATCTCTAAAACTTTGGTTTTCCTTTGGTGTTTTAACAAGATATCAATAAATAAAACACATTGGCAAAACAAAACAAAACAAAAAACCTTAACTGTTCAGAAAAGAACATGTCAATCGTGCCTCTATTTTGAACAAAATCATCCCAAAATAATTAAGAATTCGGAATTATCTAGTAAAGAAGAAATTTTGTTGTTTAAACAGATGATGAGAGAAGGAAACTGCTGTTCATTTTTAGCCTCAAATGATGTGATGAACAGGAGAGAAGAAAAGTGATACCTGTACTTACTGTCGTTGGATCCCATGCTAATGAGGTCGTCAGAATCAACATTGTGAACAATGGCTGCTTTGTATCCCGCTCTCTGTGCATTTAAAACCTACAAATCAGAAAATACTTATGAAGAAGACAGTGGTTCATCATAACATCCCTCAACCTCAATATATATCAATGAGTCTATATTATTTAGCAGGAACTAGATTATGTATACAATAGGCTTAACTCTCAGGTATTCTTCAAACAAGATGTTTACAGCTCATCATCAAAGATTTCTTTAGATATATTCCTGATTTCATTTATGGTGTTAAGTCAAATCAGAAGCAATGAAGGACAAGGTCACTTAAAAATTAAAACAAACATTAAAAGTCTGTTTAGGCTGGGTGTGGTTGTGTACACCTGTAATCCCAGCACTCAGAGGGCTGAGGCAGGAATAACAGCCTGCTATATAGTGAGTCCAAGGCCAGCTTGAACTATATAGCCAGCCCTTGCCTAAAAAAAAATCTGTCTAGCTCAAAAATAGAGACTTGCTGTGATCAGGCTCAGGAGTCAAATGTTCTGGGGAGTCAAAGGCAACTTCTGCTATTTATTAGTGGAATAAACTCAGGCAAAATATTTTTATTTTTAAGCCCGTTTCCTAAATTTAAAATGGGAATGACAATAATTTTTAATCACATATAAAAACACTTTAAAATGCTTAAAGTCATTCCTAACACATAGAAATGTGTCAAATACAAACAATTTATTATTAGCTTGATGCTCAGGGTTTTTCTAAATTCATTATGAAAGCTTTGAAGAAATTAAAAATACCTCCAGCCCGAAGTTACTTACGGTGGTTCTACATAGCTTTTCTACTTCTGCAAAATAATAACCTTTGCACCACAAGAATATAGCTGGATATGAGGAAGGGAATAAGGTAGAGGTACGAGAAGAATGTAAAGGAATGAGGGGATGGATACAATCAAAATATGTGCATCTTCGAAAGTCCCACACTTGTTGTGCACGTATGAAAGCACCACACAATGTTTTGTAAAATTAATAAGCATTAGGAAAAATACATTTTAAAAAGAATATTATAGTTTCTAACCCTTATTTCTTACTTATTACACATAAACTTATTTATTAATTATGTTACCATAGCAGTAAAGACTTCACTTAGCTTTTTTTGAGACAGGGTCTCGCTATGTAGTTCAGGCTGAATACACTGAACTCACTATGAAGTACCCTGAACCTACTGTGTTGCCCAGGCTGGCCTTGAACTAGCAGCCATCCTCCTGCCTCAGCCTCCTGAGTGCTGGGATAACAGGCGTGCACCACCAGGACCAGCTTAATGATCATTTTTAACTGTTCCCAAAAAGTTAACCAAGTAACTAGAGAGAAACATTCCTTTCCATAGCCAAGCATATTTCCATAGCATATTCTGTCATAGACACAACTTAAGAAATATAAGATTTGCATTAAAAGCTATTTCCTGCTAATAGAAAACTTAAGTTTTAAATTTCATTTTAACTGCCCGCCTCACATGTGCAAGGGCCCGAGTTCAATCCCTGGTAGCAAAATAAAATAAGCTTCATTTTAAAGCACATCTTTACTGAAAGTATATCATTTAACCTTTTTTTCATTATAGAAGGACATATATGAGAACATGAAAGTAACATGTTAGGACACAGAGGAAAGTGGTCTCTGGAATCATAAGACTTAAAACTGTAGTTCAATTCTATAAATATTTGTTGAGTTTGCATTATGAGCAAGATATTATATGTTGGAGACCATGCAGAGCTCACAGAGGAATGGGAAATTGTCATTATCCTTAGGAGGCCCTCCATGCTCATGGATGTCCAATCTGGTCAAATGCTTTCTTGTTTCCACTCATACTACTGTCTCTGCTCGGAAGAGGTTTGGCTTCTGAATGCCTACCAGGCCTTCGAATTCCATGTCATCTCCATGAATAAAGCCTGCACTGTCCCATGCCCTATTTCGTGTGGTTTCTATCCATAATAACTGCTCCTTGCTTAGAATGTATCAATCTTTATTTGTATTTTTTCTTCAAGATCTTATATAGTGTCATATGTATACTGTATCATGGCATATGATCTGAAGAGACAAAGTAATTATCAATTTCATAAGATGTTTTCCCACTCATAAATGATTAAGATCCATAAATATAAGTGAATGAATTTACAACATGCTAAGTGTGTGACTGAATCTAACCATTAGACTTGGGTTTTTGTTTTTGTTTGGGGGATTGGGATTAGACCCAAGACATTCAACATCTCTAGCCCTTTGTTTTTTGAGACCAGGTCTTGCTAAGTGCCTAAATTGCCCAGGCTGGGCTCAAATTTGTGATCTTCCTCCCTCAGCCTCCCAGAGTGCTAGGGATACAGGCATGTTCCACCACAAGCTGGGTCACTGACTTCTTAAAACTGTATCAAGCAACTGAGGAGTATTTCTTTTATATACCCAAAACACAACTGTTTCATAAATACAATATAAAATTAATCACTATCAAAAGCTATTCTCTGCTAACAAAATAACTAAATTTCTAAAATAGAAGATTTGGGACACTACAAAAATGGGAAGGAATTCTGCAAGCTTAAATGTGAACTCCACCAAACAAAAAAATAGAAGCATGTTTTCAAAACTTAACAAGTATGGCTTTCTGCAAGGTTTCTGTTGTTGTTTTTATTGATTTTTAAAATAAAGATGTAAAATTAAATCAAGGAACACATTAACATATGGGCTAACAGTCTTATGAATACAAACAAAAGATATTCATGTTTAAGAACTATAAAACTCATGTGTCAGTCAAATTAAATTACATTTTCAACTAAGCAGCAGCTGGTAATTTCAAGAACACATGAGGCAGAAATAAAACCTAAATCATCTTAGTAATCATATGCAAGGACTCACATTCATAGAATGCAACCTCAAACACATGGTGTCAGAGAGCAGCAAAGAACTCAAAGATTCATGAATAAAAAGCACGCACTGTGAACAAAAACCTAAATCCAAAATAGCTATCAAAACTGAAAAGTGCATTAAAAAGCCTTCTGAAATGTATTGCCAATCTGTCTTTTTAAGGAGACTGATCGGAGCTATTAGTTCAAATTATACTAAATGCACTGAATATTTTACATCTAATCGGCAAATCAGATGCAACTGAATTATGAAGACCAGGTGGCATCTAACCAAGACTTTTAAGAAATAAGGAATGCTTAGCTTGTTATTATAAATAGCCAGTCTGTCAGTAGATAGTGAGCTGCTGTCAATAAGACAGGTTCTGAAAGGCACAATGACAAAACAGTTCATCTTTTTTCTAGTCTGAACAAATTCATAATACTGCCACAAACAAAACACAGTTTATAAGAAAAAAGAAGAAACTTATGTTAGCAAGATAATCATAAACAGAGATTTGGGGTGGGGTTTACTGGAGATCAAACCCAAAGCCTTCACACTGATCTATATTCTCAGCCTGGAGTTTTGTTTTGTTTTGCTTTGTTTTTTGAGCCAGGGTCTTGCTAAGTCACAAAGTTGCCCAGGCTGGTTTTGAACTTGTGATTCTCTTGCTGCAGGTGCCCAGAGTGCGGGAATTACATAAGCCACCACACCCAGGATGAACGGAGAGATGTTAACAAACCCATCAAAATGAGAGTTAGAAAAACTATTTTTTTTGTTTGTTTGGTTGCTTGGGGTTTTTTTTTTTTTAATTATTATTCATTAGGTTTACTGGCACAATTTAGGTATAACTATGATCACACTCATCATTGGGAGTTTGTACCTGTACACCATATATCGTGGTTGGTTGGTTTTTTGAGGATCTTACTTGGCAGTTCAGGCTGGCTCTGAACTCATGCAGCCCATGCTGGCCTCAAACTCACAGCAATACTCCTGCCTCATCCTCTCCAGTGCTGGGATTACAGGCATGCACCACTATGTCTGGCGGAAACCACTGATAAAACAATGTAACAAAGTTCCTGAAACAAAAGCTATTTGAGTAACAGAAATCTGTCTGATAGACATTTATATTCCAATATTCAATATAACTCTACAATGTGGATTTTTTCTTTTCCATGTTTTAAAAACAAGTGTGCCTTCGGTCACACTTAGGCAGAGCTGAGGTTTGAACACTACCTGGTTAAGTGGAGGAGCACTGGTGCTAAGGTTGGAACAACCCCCAAAGGCCCATGTGTTTAATAAACACTTGTGGGCTGGGGATTTAGCTCAGCGGTTCCGCGGCCTGCCTTTGCAAGTGCAAGGACCCAAGTTCGATCCCCGGTACCGGAAAAAACAAAAACAAGAACAGTGAAATCTAATAAACACTTGTTTCTTAGCTTGGCATTATTAGAAGGTGGTAGAGACTTGACTGAGACGTGAGGCCTGGTGGGAAGTCTTAGGTCGCTGGGGTAGAAGGTGCCCTCAAAAGCAGTCTGACAACACTGGTCTCTTCCTCTTCCTGTTTCCAAGCCACCATGTGGTAACTAGCTTGCTCCACCAAACACCCCTGCCATGATTTACATTTTCAGCACTGTCTCAAAAGCAACAGGGCTAAAACACCATGGACTGAAATCTTTGAAACTGTGAACAAAAATAACCCTTTTCTGTTAATAAGCTAATATCTCAGGTATTTGTTATGGTGGCGCAGAGCTACACAACAGGGTTTCCCAGTGGGGCAGGTTGAGGTTCAGGATTACTGATCCTGTGCTTCCCCCAAAATAAGACCTAACTGGAAAACAGGTGCTGGTGGTTACCACGGTGATGGCCAGTGGCATGCAGAAGATTATACCTCACTATTCTCTGGCTTGCTGGCTACGCTGTAATAGCAGGTATGGTAAGGTGATTAGAGCTGGCATTTTTTACCTCTAGTTTTCGAGGCAGATTATTTTCCAGATAGGTCTTACTTTCAAGGAAACAAAGTCTTACTTAGTATTTTACAAATGTCTGAAAAGTGAAATTAAGAAAGCATTAAGACTCAGATAACGTTAATCCTAAAATCCTCTGGGCAAATAAAACCTATAAACAAAATTGTACACAGAAGAAGAAAGTTGTTAAAATATTGGGATAGAGTTTATAGAAACTTAAAGGATGAAAAAGCTGTGGGGTAAA